AAGAATGCTTTTATAGAATAATTTGGAGAGAAAGATGTGAAAAATTCACAGCATAGGAAAAAGGAAACGGTATAGACAAGACAATTAAAAGAGGAAAAAGACCCAGAGAATCATCCGAGATATCAGAAAAGAACTTATGAGCAGAAGATCTAGTGTTAGAAAACGGGCCAACAGAGGTTCAACCGGTAGAAAACCAATCAACAAAAAACCATTCGAGAAAAAAGAGGAAAAAAGATTTAAAGAAATTAGGTGTAGTAGGAAAAAAAAAAAAGGGAAGATCATGTTTGGAAAACTTTAAAGAAAAGATAGTTGAGGTATATAAGTTGGTAAAAGAAACGATTTGGTTACAAACTTCGAACTCTTTTCCACCTAGTTGGTGGTTAAAGTAAAGTTATTTTGTAGTAGGTTGTTATGTTAAGTAAATATTTTTAGATAGCTGAGTACCACGCTATAATGGGTTTTTAAATATGGGTAGCATTACATGCAAAACCAGTTGGCAAACATCAGTGCAATAACTATACTTAGGCACTTTTAGCAGCTGGGTATTGGTCTAATACATAAGTTAAATAGTTAATTTGTAAATTACAAATATTCTAATAAATTAGTGCGAGGTTATCAAAGGAAAAAAAAAAAAAATTATTATTTAATAATTAATTATATATAAAATAAAAGTATTATTATTAGAGGTATGGCGACTTAGTGTAGTGGTCTAGTTGTTACCCTCTCCAAGTGGTAGATCTAGAGTTCAAATCCCATGGACAACGATTTTTAAAAATTAGGCTTGTGTTCGGTTAATGGCTATGCTTATTGATTGGATCTAATTTGTAACTTCGGTTACACTATCTAGTAATGGAAGCAATGGCGCAATAAATCTGAGGAACTGGCATAACCAAAAACCCATTTGGAAAGTCCCGAGTTAGGAGTAGCAGTGATCTACAATGGTATTACAGGAGGGCTGAATTTGAACCAGGGCCTAAGATTGGAGAACCGAGCGACCAGGTCCTAATGGCAGAGGACAGAGGACACACTAGCTGAACTGCCGGGTTGTTGCACTGGAGGAAAAGGACATATGCTCTGAAAGTATGTACCAAGAGGAGGGCATCCTTCAGGCACCTAAAGCCTAGGCAGACCAACCTTTCCGAGTTGCCAGCTAGAGGGACCAATAAAGAATCCGGGTAAGAAAATGGTCTAATTGCGGGTACCAGGGTTGTTGTGAACCTATACAAGGGCAGAAGTAACAGGTCTAATTAAGAAGGTTGTGGCTTGTCGGATTGGGTTGCAGCAGCACTCTTGGACCTTAGAGGTGGCTTAAGATACGAACTTGGTTACGGCAGCATAATTGGTACTAATTAGATAGGGGTTCAATGGTTAGCCCTGACTTCAAATGTATAGGTCAAGCTGTGGCGGTAGGTTACCAAAGCCTGGGTGAATACATGGGTGAGACATGTACCCTAGCAAAAAGTTAGTTACCGGCTTCAATGTTGAGGTTCAGTGTGGTTCCACAATAAAAAGTGATGCAGCTATCACATCTAGAGCTTAGTAAAGCAACCAGTGGGGTCAGGTGTTTTAGTAATTATTAGTTCTACAGTACTGGCACCTGTTATTTAGAAATAGTTCTTATATGCTATTTGCCGACAGGCTTAGAGTTTATCACTTACCATCTATGTTAGTTAGCTAGCATTATTTGTACATATGAATTAATTACTAAAATAAATACTTGCCAAGATACACCAAAGTTAAAAAAAAAAAAAAAAAGTATTATTATTTAATTAATTGTATATAAAATAAAAGTATTATTAGGGTATACAAATTTAATAAATCGGTTTTTATAATTCGGCTAGGTCAAAATTTACAAAGCCTTAGAAAAAAATTTTTAGTACAGTGCGAGACAGCAAGAGACATCCAATCTATACATATAGGCACCAATTTTTGGTGTTTATATAATCAATTCTGATTGGCTAATTTTTGATTTTGATTGGTTAAAGACCTATATATGTTTTCTTTTTTTTTATATTAAACGCCAATTTTTTGAACTCATATAAACTTTAATCTCTTATAACTTTTTTAAAACAAAGAATAAAAAAAAAATCCTCTGACAGAAATGTAATTTATCTAAAAATCTATCAATTTGTCAGAGGGTTTTTTGATTTAGCTTGTTTTAAAAAAGTTATAATACTTTAAAGTTTTATTAATAGATGTTGGATGTCTCTTGCTATCCCGCACTGTATATTTACTATCCAGGTAAGTTTTTTTAAAAATTATATAAAAAATTTTATATGTTTTTTATATATAAAATTTTTTGAAAATAAAATTAAAAGCCGGGTTACTTTTAAAATTTTATGCTATGAAAACCGAATTATTAAGTTTGTATGGCCTTATTTAATTAATTGTATAAAAATAAATTATTAAGAATAAGAATTCAGAATCATGGGTCAACTCTTCCTGATGATCACCTGGACCAAAATTTTTTGCTAAAGAAAAACCAGAACTACTTGTTAGAAAGTCGTGGCCAGAACAGTAGTTTGTCTAAAAGTCAACTACTACTCTCGGAGACTTCTCTAAAAGAAAGAACGTTTGGCATACAAGCCAGGAGTATTATTATACAAGATAACTGGCAGGCAGTGCCCTTGTATAAAAAATCTTGGTGGAATATGGGTAGGGAGGCCCAACTCCATCAATAAAGCTATTAGGCTATTACTTCAATGAAGAATACAGAGGAAACAACAAGAAAATCTGCTTTTTCAATACACTCTTTTGAAAATTTTGAAAGTACTTGCAACTCTCTCCTCTTATTTCTGTTTCTTTCAATTTTTCCAAAAATTTTTTCAAAAAGTAGGGATTTGGCTTACCCTCTCCAAAAGATCGATGGTGTTTACATTCTAAATCTGGATAGCCAAGTAGATTACAACCACGTGTTCGATAGATACAGTGCTACTAATTTGAACAGGTCCCAGGTTCTAATAGCGGCAGCAGGTGGCTTGAAATACGGGTCTACAGATAGTGGCAACACCTGGCTCGAGATATAGATTAGGTCGGAACCAAATATTCTGGAGTTGAAAAAAAACAATAACATTAAGACAAAGCTTTACAATAGAGATATACAAATATTGTATTTGTTATATAATTTTTATACTTGCCTGGCACAGGTTATAATAGTATACTCTTTTTTTTCTTTTTTGTATTCGTTTTTGTGCTATTTCTTGATAGAGGTAGCTGCTATTCCTCTCGGGGAATAGCTTTTTCTTGTTCAGCCTATCAGGGCTTACCTCTTTGTTTTTTCTTTTTTTATATTTTCTATTTCCTCTATTTCTATTCTTTTTTATTTTCCCTTTCTTGTTTTGTTTCTTTTTTGTATGTAAATTCCTTTTCTTCTTGATGTACGTTCCAGTATTAAGAATATTTTCTTTTGCTCTCAGTGAAGAAAGTAAGTATGAAGGGATAAGCTCTTGGTGGGCTAACAAGGTCTTCTAACTTACCTGTAGGTTGGTGCGACACATTGCTCTTAGGTACACTAGATGCAGCTGGGCTTGCAATTGTTATACTGTTTATTCATACCATCCAAGTTTGTTTAATAAAGTATTGTATTTGAGCTTCAGCAAGACTGTCAAAGAGCTAAAAAAAAAAAAATTATTAAGAATATAAGAATTTAAAAAAAATTAAAAACAAAAACATTTAAATTAAAGGTCTAATATATTAAAACTAATTTAAAAGCTAATATTGTTAAGGTTTAAAAATTAATAAAAAATTAAAAGCTCAAACCTGAGCAAACATTAAGGCCTAAGAATTAATAATAAATTAGAAACTTAAACTCAGTCAATGACTAGGTTTAAAAGCTAATAACATTGAAGCCTAAGAGCTAAGGTCTAAGGATTAGTAAAAAATTAAAAACTCAAACCTTGTCAATAATTGGGTCCTAAGGGCTAATAATGTTAAAACCTAAAAGTTAATAATATTGAAGTCTAAGAAATAATAATATTAAGGCCTAATAATTAATAAATTATAATTACCATATAGTCTCGGAATAACACCCACCTGTGCGTTAATTAATTGACCTGCGCGTTATTTCGAATATGCCTATGGCGTTATTTTGAAATAGAAGTTGATTTTCCTGGTCTAATATTTTTTTAAAATAACGTGCATGTGCGCCTTATATGTAGTGCTACCTAACCTGTCGATAATGTTTCAAACATGCTAACTTTTTAGTCGATAGTGATAGATTCTTATTGTACATTACACATTGTCAAACCGGTTATGCGATGAGATAATTCTATATAAATATACTGAACTTTAAGAAAGTACCGTAAGTGATTTCAATTTTTTTTTTTGATTTGTCAGATTATATTTTTTTATTTTTTTTCCCCATACAGTTCTTAGTTTATTATGAATATGGAACACTATAAATAAACCAACTTTTTTCTTATCAATTAAAGATTATAGTTTCAACGACTCGTTGGTTAATTTTTTTTTCTGAACCTTTTTTTTTTCTTTGATCTTTCCGGATCTTTTTTTTTTTTTTTTTGATCCTTTGGATCATTTTTTTCTTTTATAATTTTTTCTTCAATCTTATGTGTTACAATACCGCCATCAAAATTATGCCCTGGTACTTTGTCACGAAACTGCCATTAAAATGATGCCCTGGTACTAGATCACGAAACCGCTACTAAAATAATGCCCTGGCACTAGATCACGAAACTGCTATTAAAATAATACCCTGGCCCTGATACTATTTAAATAGACATGATCTGTTTTTTTTTTTGCTTCACGTTCAAATTTTATCTACAAACATAGAGAATAAACGAAGCTATACTATTTCGTTTAAGCTTGATATAATAAAATATGCTGAGGAAACTTCCAACTGTAAGGCATCTTTGTTTTATCAAGTCGATTGAAAACGCGTCCAAGAATAGAGAAAGCAAAAAAAAGAATTTGAGGTTATCAAAAACGATCAAAACTTAAGTATTGAGAAGGTGCGAACTCTTCCTAGCCATAGTCGAAAAGCCATGTATCCCGTAGTTGAAAAAGAATTAGTAAATTATGTTTAAAAAAAACGGGAAGAAAGGATGGCGGTTACTATTTCTATGATTGGAAAAAAAGGTGAAAAAGTTAGTGAAAGCACTAGATATTCAAGGTGCAAAGTTCTCTGCTGGTTGGGTTAAATGTTTCATGTGATGGAATAAATTGGTAGAACGAGTTCAGATACAACAAGCACAAAAGCTTCCAGAAGATATGCCCATAGTTGTTAGAGAATTTCTTCAAACTTTGTGTGAAAAAACAAAAGACATTGAAAAAAAATTTATAATTTCTTTTGATAAAATGCCAATGTGGTTTAACATGCCCTGAAATACAACAATCGATTTTAAAGATGTTCGAGAAGTACCAATTAAAACTATGGGGAATGAGAAATTACGTTTTACAGTAGTTCTGGGCTATACTGTATCGAGAGAAAAACTTCCGCCTGCTGTAATTTTTTTCAAATTAAAAAAAAAACCAAAGGGCAAATTTCCACGAGACGTGGTAGTAACCATGGCACCTTGTGCAAATATGATAGGTGATTTGATGATCTCTACTTATATTCCACAAGTTATTCGAGCCAGACCGAATGGGTTCTTTAAAAGTAAAGGTATAATTTTTGTTGATCACCACCACAGTTATGTTCATGATGATGTAATCAAAGCATTAAAGATAGTAGGGTTATAGTTTTGTTTTTATAATAGAGTTAGAATCAATATTAGGCAATTAGAATGTTGAATTTATAGATTCTAATTAGAATATTTAAGTTCAATTCTAATTCAAATTACTAGATTTGTAAGGATAATTTTTTTAAATTAAAATTTTTTTGTTTAGGAAAGCTTAGACGTCCTAGAGATACCTAGTGGAACTACCTGCATTTTGCAACCACCCAATGTATCAGTAAACAAGCCATTTAAAAAATAGTATGACGCGAAGGTGAGAAAAATGGATAGATGAAAGAAAAGGCAAATTTACTAAAAAAAGAAACCTCAAAAGAGCATCATACGAATTGGTATATGAATGGGTATTTGAAACGTGGAGAGAAATCAGTATAGATATTTTGAATAGGTCTTTTGAAGCATCCGGGCTTACACTTAACCCCGATGGCAGTGAAGATGACAAGATGACAAGCCGCCTGCAAGCTATTATTGCAAACTGTTTAAATGAGGTGTGTTTTTCTGAGGAAGAAGATAATGAATCATCAAATCAGGATGATGTAAATAATAAATCAAATCCTGATGAACTTGATGATGAACTTTACGATGAAAGTGTAACAGATGATGACTCTGAAGATATGATGGACATTGATAATTGATAAGGTAATAAAAATTACTAAATAATAGATCATTAGAAAGAAAGAAAATTTTAACTTCTATTTATTAATAGTGTGTTATACAAAAATAAAATTTATTAGCAAATGAATAAAGGCCTCCATTTATTACAGTAGTGCAATGCTTTTTTTCTTTATAAAAAAAAATTTAGATAATTTTTTTTTTTTTCTTTACTTTTTTTTTTTCTTTTTCTATTATATTTTCATTTAAAGGGTTATTAGGGAAAATGTAATTAAAGCTGGACTGAGCAATAAGATTGTCGCAAACTGAGATGATATAAATAAACCTATATACTGGTAATGCTTAATATATGATATCATTTATAATCAAAAATTTAGATTTGGAATTGAACATAAAACATATATTTATTGCTAAAGTTTGGGATAAATTTTTTTACCAGTAATTAATTTTCAACGTTTGTTACTGATGATTGGCCTATAAAAAATTTGTACTGTTATTGTCCAAAAAAATATTCGGAACAGAGTCGATTTTCTGACGTTTATATGGGACGTAAGAAATAGAAAATTTTGATTAAAAATTATCGTATAAAAAACGCATTCATCTAATAAAAATCCTTTAAATAAGTCGATTTTCCAAACAAAAAATCGAGTAATTTCAGAATTTTCTGAACAATTCCAAGAAAATTTTTTTTATAGGGTCGTTATTAAGACTTTTTGAAAAGTAAAGATCAAATTTTAATGTATAGATACCCAGGAACATATTTAATTTGTTGCTTCTGTAATTTAAACATATTCATACTATGAGATATAATTTTTAATATGAGGGTGCGCATTAATTCAGGATGCCCATGGGCGTTAATTTGAAATCATATATGCTATTTTGGGGAATCTGATTTTCAAAATAACGCCCATGAGCATTATTTCGAGGCTATATAGTAATAGTTTTTTTTTTTTATAAATTTAGCAGTTATGTCAAAACTTTATTAGATATAACATACTTGATTATACTATCTTATGTGACCATCATCAGCAAAAATATATATGCGTAAACTTTCGTAAGTTTTTACGGTGCGTAAGAAAATCGTAAACTTACGTAAAATTTAGCGTAAAACTACGTAAATCTTACGGTGCGTAAGAAAATCGTAAATTTACGTAAAATGTTTACGTAAATTTACGAGTTTCTTACGCACCGTAAGATTTACGTAAACCAACGTAAAATTTTTACGTAAATTTACGATTTTCTTACGCACCGTAAGAAAATCGTAAATTTACGTAAAAATTTTACGTTGGTTTACGTAAATCTTACGCAC